GCCCTACTCCCAGGCTGTTTTGCTTTACTAATAGCAGCAGTAACTTCAGAACCCTGGTGAGCAGTCAGCAAAAACAGTAACTACCAAGTGCACAGAAGTCGTGCGGACAACGGCCTTATCTAGGGGAGGGGGAAACTGAGGCTCAGAGAGACCAGGCCGCCTGGCTAGCAGAGGCAGCACACCTCCTGTGGGGCGCACGCTAGGTGCCTCAGCCGCCCCCGTTCTCTCTCACAGCAGGCCAGCAGGCCTTCACTGCACCGCCCCTCCCCCCCGTGAAGGGTTCCACAGTGAGATCCTTTATGGAAATGTCTCCATTGGTATACTACTTCTAGCCTGGAGCCTGCCCCTCCCCCCCACCCCCCCAATGCCTGGGCTCCGCCTGCTGGAGCGAGTGTTTCAGAGTATCCCTGAGCACGTCCCCCACCAGGCACCCGGTGGAGTCCCGCCAGAACCCAGAACTCCAGGTCTGGGGCCACGCGGCAGGTGCTAGCCATCCCTGGGCTCTCCCCGGCCTGCGGCAGCCCAGAGAAATGAATCCATTTGCTCCAGGGTTTCGGTACCAGAAGGTTCGGGAGCCAAGCCTCCACCCTAGGGCCTGCCTGGCTTCCCCTAGGGCTACGCTCGCTCACGCTCCCACCCTGCCACCCCGTCCCCTGCTCCCCCAGTGCTGTGGGGAGGCTCCGAGGAGGAGTGGGCGGGCAGGCATCCCCTGGGCTGGGGGCTGGAGGCCTCCGTTGCTGAAAGGAAAGGGCAGGAGTGAAATGAGAGTTAGGAAGCACAGGAGCGTCCTGTCTCCCCCCGCGGAGTCACCTGCAAGGAGAGACCAGAGGTGGGGGGAGGGGAGAGGAGGGAGAGTTACAGGGCTTCTTGCCCCCCCTTGCCCACCCTCTCCACCCCCACCCTCCAGGATCAGGCACCCCTGGTTGTCCTGCCTCCTCTCCCCTCCACCCCGAGGCCCTACCTCCAGGTTGGCTACATGAAGCTGGGAGAGGAAATGAGCGGGAGGAAGGAGGGAAAAGAGAAGGCAGGGGGCAAGGGTGATGCTCAGGGCAGGGGCGCTGAGGAGGAGAGACCCTGTCTTTGTCTGCTCCCCTTGGCAGGTGCCAGACAGCCAGGCTCCCTCCCGGCTCCCACGGCACTTTTCTCAGGGTGGGGTGGGGGTGGGGGGGCACTTACAGTCCAACAGGGCCGCACTTCCTTTGTGGACAGGAAGTGGGATCGTGGCCGTGGACAAACCAACCAGGAGACAAGAATCTGCTGACGGTGCCCCAGCCCTTCCCGGGGTCTTCCCCCAGGCCTGAGGGTAGTCTGCCTTGCACCAAGGCTGCTTGCTGGCCAGAGTCCCGTTTCCGGGACCAGAGGGGACATGACAGGAAGGAATGTGAAGGGGATAAGGGCTGGGGGTTTGGAGGGTCAGACGGGGCAAGGCAGAGGAGAGTGCAGTGTGTGTGAAGGTCGTGCAGGTGTGTGAAGGGGTCAGGAAGGAGAGGGTGTGACAAGAGGCAGGCTCAAGTTCAAGGGCGATGTAATCACATGGACACAGCAGACATGGGCGTGTCCGTGAGGGGCTTGTGCACCGGCCTTGGAGAAGGTGTTTTGTGCAGGACACGTCGCTCCTGGAGAGGGGGTCCCCAGTGTGGGGGAGGGCTCCTGGGAGAAGAGCGTGTGTGCGGGAGTGGGGGAGCAGGCCCTGCTGTCCGCTGGGCAGGTCAAGGTGTCTCCTCCTCACTCACTTGCTCGGGGGCAGGGCCCGGGTGATACAAAGAGCAAGATGACTCACTGTAAGGAACACAGTCGTACTGCACCTCCAGGTACTTGTAGGTCCCCGGGCAGGGGTCGGGAAAGGCATCCGAGCCGGCCACCACCACACACTGGGTGCGGTTGTTACACCTGTGGGGTGAGAGAAGGGGCCTCAGAACAAACCCAATGGCGGGGGCGGGGTAGCGAGCGAGGGACAGCCACACCAGCCAGCCCAGGGGTGTCCGGGCACAACTGCCCTCCACAGGGTCCTCCGGACTGTGACCGTTCAGAGGTGGATCACCTGGTCTTTCTTCCAAGCCACCTCTGGGTGGAGCCGAAACACCCAAATTCAGCAGTCAAGCCCTGAATCCTGGAGAACTGGGTCTGGTGGGGGGCGCAGGGCCCTGTGCCTGCTGTGGTGGGGTGGTCTCTTTCCCACAGGGGAGGGGTGGGTGGGCTGGCTCGCCTTTCAGCCCAGTCAGGGTGCTGCACACAGAGCTGGCTGGAGGGTGCGCCCTCTGAGCCAAGTGGCCCGCATCACTTTTGTCCCCTGCGTGCCCTGGCACTGCCACATCCCTGATGGCCCTCTCGCTGAACGAGCACACGTGGTCACACAAGTGAGGCGAGTTCTCGCTCAGGACAGGCACACAGCCACCTCTCTGGGCTCCGCGCCCACTGCAGAGCGTCTCTCTGACCAGCATGGCTGGGATGCGCTCACCGAGCAACGCTGCCGTGAGGAAGGGCAGCCAGAACGGGAAGGCTAGGGCCCTGTCCTCACTCGGTAGAAAAACCCACCCTTGGTTCCCCATGGGAACTCCCAAGTCCCCGCCAACTTCAAGAGCCTTGTTCACACGTGAGGTTAATATGTAATATCTATTTCGGAACACCCGCAACCCACAGACGTCTGTTGCCGCCTCCTGGTCAGGGGCTCCGTGCTAAACCAGACAGACCTGGTACCTGAGGCTGCAGGATGCTCAACTCAGAGGCAGAAATGCCAGGAGGGCGAAGGGCCTGGCAGGAAGGGACCGACAAAGACCTGGGTGTGGCAGGTTCCACCTCCACCTACCCATCCCACCTTTCCTTTGCGATAGAACCATAAAATAAAAAAGCCGAAACCAACCTCACTGCCGTTGGGCTGATGCTGCCTCACAGGGCAGGGTAGAACTGCCCTGTGCGTTTCCGACAGCGTTAACTCTTTACAGGAATAGAAGAGCTGTCTTTTTCTAGCAGAGCGGCTGGTGGTTTGGAACTGTGGGCCTTGAGGTTAGCAGCCCAGTGAATAACGACTACACTACAGGGCTCCTAGAAACAGAACCTGTGCCTTGAGGAGGTAGAGCGCTAATTCTGCAGCAGTACATTGACAGGGAGCTGCCAGATGTTCAGGCCGAACTCCGTAGACGACACCAAGGAGCAGAGCTGACGTCAGACGGATCTTGACTCAAAGCAGGGAATACCAGAGACATGCTCACTTGTGTGTCATTGCCTAGGCCAAGGCATTGGACTGTGTGGACCCTAAGAAACTATGGCTAACCTTGAGAAGGACGGGAATTCCAACACTTTACCGCCCTAGTTTGGAACTTGTACATAGATCAGGAGGCCGCTGTGCAAACGGACCAAGGGACTACTGCTCGGTGTGAAACCAGGAAAGGTGTGTGCCAGGGCTGTGGCCTCTCGCCACACTCGTTGGATCCGTCTGCCGAGCGGGTCATCAGAGAAGCTGGATGGCATGAGGAGTGCCGCCTCAGGACTGCAGGAAGGCTGACTGACAACGCGGGTCTGCAAAGGACGCAACCTTGCTTGTTGAAGGTGAGGAGGGCTCGAAGCCCTCGCTGGGGAAGGGCAAGGTTGTAGCCTTCAGTAGAGATTAGAATTCGATAGAAGGAAGACCCAAGTTCTCACAGCTGGACCAACAGGGTACATCACGATCAATGGAGAAAAGGTTGAAGTGGCCAAGGATTTTGTCTTCCCTGGACCCACAAGCAATGCTCAGGGAGGCAGCAGACAAGAGATTAAAAGAGGTGATTGCATTGGGTCGCCTCTTCCGCGTATGGAAGAGCAAGGATGCTACTTGGAGGACGAAGGTGCCCCTGACCCGAGCCGTGGTAGTCTCCACGGCTCCCCATGCCTGTGAAAGTCGGACACTGAACAGGGAGCGCCTAGAAGAACGATGTGCTTGAGAGGTGGGGCTGGAGAGGAAGACTGTAAGGGCCACGGACACACCATCTGTGGTGGAAGAAGTAGCCCAGAGCTCCTTCGAGGCAAGGATGGCGAGACATGCTTCGGACATACTGTCAGGAGAGACCAGTCCCTGGAGGAGGGCATCGTGTTTGGGACAGTGGCGGGGTGGTAAAGGAGGAAGGCCTCTACCGAGATGCAGGGACACCCTGGCTGCGTCCGTGGGCTCAGGCAGAGGAACCACGGTGAGGCTGACACAGGAGCAGGCAGGGTTTTGTGGTGTTGTGCACGGGGCCGCTGTGGGTTGGAACCACCCCTAGTTCTATACCCAAGAGCCTTCAAAGTAGCAAATCAAATAGATACTTGTACCCCAACGTTCACTGCACCGTTAGACACGCTAACCGAAAGGTGGAGATGGCCCCAGTGCCACCAGCGGGTGATGGGCAGGCACGTGGCTCCTCCAGACAGTGGGGTCTTGTTTGGCCATAAAGAGGTTGGGGCTATAATGCAGGGGGCACTGTGGATGCACCCCAGGACAACTACGCTCAGTGTAAGAAGCCGGGCACAAGCGGTCACACCATGAGTGTTCCCTTAACGGGCAACACCCAGGCTGCACGGCAGCAGGAAGTGGGTGAGTGGGGGTGGGGGTGGGGGTGGAGGGAAGGGGG